AATGACGAATCACTCATCGACAGGAGAATTATCGAAATTTGTGCACAAAGTAATGGAGAGTGTTAAATGGATTATAAGTTAATGTCATCAACTTTGCCATTTTGAGGATATTATATTAATAGACAGATGATTCATTCGCTAAACCAATAAATCCACAAAAGAATGGGTTTCACTCCCCAGTCTGGCCATAAAAGGGACCAAAGTTAACATTATCTCTTGTAAAGAAAATAGCGTAGCGGTGCAGAGGTTTGACATTCTCTATAATCTTTGCTTGGATTATTATTCTTAATGATTGTAATTATTTTCATTTGTTTATATTTTCAAACTTTCCAACTAGTTAGATGAACAAATTACTATTACTACACTCGTGAGAACTCAATCAGCATTTGAATGGAATTAATTTCTTCCATATGCAAATACTTCAAATAAGAACAAAACTATTTTCATTCGAATATAAAACCAAATTTCGATATGCATTTACTGAAACAAATTCTTCATTCGCTTAGTTATTTGGCTAAATATTTTTCCCTTATTTGTTATAATGTATCCTTCATTGCTGATATAGTAATTTTGAACTTTTGATAAAAAAATTTCTATAAAATTTTGAATTCCTACCTATCTACATAACCATTAGGGACAACAATTGAATCAATTCGCATAATATCAATGTTTAAGATTTCATGGAGGATTAAAGTACCTCAAAACTCACATTAAATTCCTTGAACTCGACGGATAAAATTGTTGGAAATGATTTATTAACTAGTGAATTGAACTCCAATTTGAGTAGGACCCATACTTCAATTTTAAAGGGACCAATCATATTCACGTTCTACTCCACGGGGTGATTAACGTGATATAATTATTCATCGAAAACCATTTAGAATTGAATGAAATATTAACATTAAAGTAACCTACTTGAAACTATAAACTAGTGAAAATTTTGATTTATTGAAAATTGCCAAACACTTTGGAGGATTTTCAAGAGAGAGCATTTTGGAGGACCTATCCTTGTTCTTAGAAAAACATCGTACTAATAAATTTCGAGTCGAGTTGAGTTATGATGAATTCTTGTTCACCGTTCCTTGTTCAAGGGTTCTTTTAGGATAGAAAATACTTAAGGCAATTCTCTTTTCTCAGATCAAGAAAATGAAAGTTCTGCCGGATATTCTTTGCAGTACTTTGTACATATTGCAGTTAGATTAATCCAGCATCAAAGGCTGTGTAAAGTGAGAAGAATAAATATGGGTTAGGCTAAAGGCATGTTTCAACCCCATTTTTTAGTATATAATACATTTTAAAGTAGTAGATTGATAGAGAATATGTGATTAAAAATAAAAGAATAATTTTTGAACTGTATGTAATATTATTTTATTGAACAATATGTCATTAAAAAAAAGAGAGAAAATTCTATTTTAAAAAAAATAAGAATCGAAGGCTAAATTTTTGCATTGATGAAATTTTTAAGATAATGACAGCAACTTTTGGCACTCAGATTTGTCAGTTGTGTAAATAAAAGCTGGAACAACAGGAGGAAAAAAACAAAAGTGCAACGAGGTTCTGAGTCTTGATCCTCATCTTTATAATCAGAACCAAACCCAAAACTAAGTACAGGAAGAAGAAGCCCCAAAAGACGCAACTGGCGACATCCCATGAAGGCCGTCAACATTTATATCAATCCCAATAACTTTTTCAACAGCATCAGCGAATCCACGGTAGAAGATTAGGAACTCAATTGTAAGAATGTTTGATGAAACCACCACACGTTGATATCATTTATAGCATTTTACATATCAATTACAATTAATGTGAAATATAAGAAAGTATATACAAGGAAATCTCCTAGAATTGAGGACTGAATGAAGTCACGTATGGCAAGTCTCCTTAGATTGATGCAGAGTATCCTCAACACCACCCCCCCCCCCCCCCCCCCCCNATAATGGAGTCACATATGGCAAGCTTCCTTAGATGAAGGCAGAGTATCCTCAACACCCCCCCGCAAGCCGAGCGTCGGATTGGAACAGACGTGAAGCTTGGATCTAAAAGAGTCTAAAAGTGGTCGAGGAATACTCTTGGTGAAGATATCAGCAACCTACAAATGAGAGGGGACATACTGAGTGCGTAGTTTGCCAGCAACAACAAGTTCTCAAAGGAAGTGGTAGTCTAACTCAACATGCTTGGCCCGCTTATGAGAAACGGGATTGGAACACAAGAAAATGGCACTTTTGTTGTCGCATAAAAGAAGAGGCTGTTGTCGAATGGAGACCTTTAGATCATGAAGGAGATGCGTAAGCCAAAGGAGTTTAGCTGAAGTATGCGCAAGGGTACGATACTCAGATTCACAGCTAGAGCAGGAGACAGTGGGTTATTTCTTAGCACTCCAAGAAACCAAGTTGTCACCAAGATAAACGAGTAGCCAGACGTAGAACGACGAGTGTCAGGGCAGCCTGCCCAATCTGCATCAGAGTAAGCAACTAAAGCACCAGGAGTAGTAGATGGGCGAAAATGAATGCCAAAATGAAGGGTTCCTTTGACATATCGAAGAATACGCTTAACAGCAAGAAAATGATCCTCTATTGGAGCATGGAGAAACTGGCTAACAGAATTGACAGCATGGGCAAGGTCGGGCCGTGTAATGGTCAAATACTGGAGGGCACCGACAAGAGACCTGTAGAGAGTGGGATTCGAAAAAGGTGTGCTAGTAGTAGATAGGTGCTGCGTGTTCGCTGAAAATATGCTGCAAGCGCACGGGTTGCGTACAAGTAGTAAAGTGGACCTTTGGAGTCCGGATTGTCGGTCCCACGAAGAATGTATACTTTCGATTACGCACTCTAATCGATTTTAATTCTAACGACAAAAGAAACACACACAATTAAAGACATGATTTAAAAAACGATAAATAAACTAACCATCTACAAAATAAGAAACTAAGGGTGTCTCGGTAAATTTCGGAGGGAAAAGTGTGGTTGGAATTTATGAAGTCGCTTAACCTCTTGTTCATTGATCTCGAACCAATTATATACTGATGCATATTATCATGTCGATAAAATCATAACCAATTGCATTCAATTTTTGTGGAAAAATACTCAACGGATTACCTGAGGTAGGTGTATATATCTATATCACTTAGACGCGTCTAGTAAACTAGACAAACCAAGGTATTGATTATTTCGGCCTAGTAAGTGCAACAATTTCTCAATAATTATACAAACTACCTAACAACTTCATCTATTGATCAAGTAAATGAAATCATTTCAAACATGATAATCAATACACTATGATTTTGACAACAAATGCATTTTTCACTAAACATGTAGATATTAATGAAACTAAGTTAAGTTAAATCATAAATTCCAATACAAAAGGCTTAGCTTATTTTATAAAGATGATAACAAAGGAGATGTTTATACAAATTCATTACAAGTTTGGCAAAATAAATGAGAAAAATCAAAGGTATAGATGAAACCAATTTGAAGCTTGGAATTGATTTTCCCCCAACTCTTTGCCAAGTCCTTAATAGTAATCTTTTTATGCTCTATGATTTTCTCATCCAAAGTGAACCAAGATTTTACAAAATGAAGAGAAAAAAAAAAAAAAANGCATAGATTTTTATGCTTAGCCATTAAGTTATCTAAATATCTAGGGACAATTGCAACCAAGGTCCCCAATGTTTTGGAAAATAAACAAAATGGTCCCCAACCCTATTTTTCACAAAACCAGTTCCAGCAGGCCCAAAATAAATTAATTTGATCCTATTTGCAGCTAAGTTCTCCAATATTTGCGCACTAGGTCCTTCATCTTTGATTTTTGTACAATTTGGTCCCCAACTTCACAATTTTGTACATTTTTTTGTCATTTTTCTTCCTTTTTCGCCTCGTTCTCCTTCTTATTGGGGCTTTAGCCTACAAAGTGAAAATTACACAATTATGCATAGAAATATATCAATTTCAATTCTAATTAATTTCAGAAAAGTGTCAAATAAGTGTGTTTTTACACACTTATCACTGTGCAACAACCATGGGGGTGTGGACGGGTTTGCTGTCAAGTAACTGAGCTCAAGTAAGAATATCCCGGGCATATTTTAGCTGAATGATGAAGAGACCATCGACAGTTGGTGAAGCTTCAAGACCAAGAAAATAACTGAGAGGGCCCAAGTCTTTAGTGGTAAACTCAGAATTGAGTTTGCAAGTGAAGCTGTTGATAAGAGATGAGTTGTTGCCAGTAACAATAATATCATCAAAATAAAAAAGCAAATATATTATCTCAGACTGTTTATGGAAAATAAAGAGAGAAGTGTCAGCACGACTGCTGTAGAAACCAAGTTGAACAAGAAAGGAGCTGAAGCGTTGAAACCAGGCATATGGTGTTTGTTTAAGACCGTATAGGGCTTTCTTCAACTGATAGACATGATGAGAAAAGCGAGGATCAATGTACCCAGGAGGTTGCTCTATATAAACATTTTCAGTAGGAGTACCATTGAGAAATGCATTCTTGACATCAAGTTGGCGAAGAGGCCCTCTATTGGCGATAGCAATAGAAAGTACAACATGAACAGTAGTAGCCTTGATAACAGGGCTAAAGGTGTCAGTATAGTCAAGGCTAGGTACCTGTGTATAGCCTTTGGCAACCAGGCGAGCTTTGAGATGGTCAACGGATCCATCAGATAGATATTTAGTCTGAAACACCCATTTGGAACCCACAATGTTTAAGTTAGCGGGGTCGCGGGAACAAAATTCCAAGTGTGGTTATTTTGTAAGGCACGAACTTCGTCATCCATAGCTGCAAGCCAAGCAGGATGTTTAGCAGCAGATTTGAATCCTTTAGGCTCAATAGATATAAGCAGAGCAAAAAGAAGACCAGAGGATCCCAAAACACAAAGGTTCGCTGGATGACGAGTTTTAAACATACCAGCTCGTGTGAGTATAGGGTGAGAGCCCAATGGGAATGCAGGAGCGGGAGTGAGATCCGTAATGTAAGGATCTGTGGCAGATTCAACAGGAGACATGCTTGCGGCCGAATGGAGACCTGCAAGAGAGTCAGTATCCTGCAAGGACTCATCCACTAAGTCAACACAAATAGCACACGGGGTAGAGCCGAATGGAGTAATAGGGGGGAATGGTACTCGGGAGGAGAGGGAGTTGTGTGGGTATGCATCATGCTGGGTTCTAAAAAGTTGGAAAAATGGAAAGACGATATGGGTTGAGACTGAGATGTATCTAGTGAGGGAAAATGATTTTCATTAAACTGGGCATGTCAAGTTATATATTGCCTGGAGATGGTGGGATCAAGATAGCGAAAACCTTTATATAAGGGACTATAACCCAAAAAAATGCATGGAATGCTACGCGGGGAAAATTTGTTAGGCATATAATCACGCAAGCAAGGATACACATGACAACCAAAGGGATGGAAATTTGCATAATTAGGAGAGGAACGATAGAGAAGCTCAAAAGGTGACTTACCTCCAAGAAGTGGTGTGGGTAATCGGTTGATGATGTAAGCTACAGTGATGAAGGTGTCAACCCAGAAGCGGGGAGAAAGGTGAGAGTGAAAAAGTAGGTCTAGCCCTATCTCGGTAATATGACGATGCTTCCTTTCAGCGCGACCATTTTGAGCAGATGTGTATGGACAAAAGAGTTGATGATGGATACCAGAGGTGCGAAGGTGATCTTTGAAACAATGACTAGTGAACTCGGCAACTTCATCGCTTTGAAATTTTTTTATACGAGTAGAGTGTTGATTTTCCACAAATGTTTGAAATTGGCGGAAAATATCATAAAAATCAGATTTTAATTTTAAAAGTTATAACCAGGTGAAGTGAGAAAAATCATCAATGAAGAGAACATAATAGGCAAAACCTAATGTGGATTTGACGGGGGAAGGATCCCATATATCACAGTGTATTAAATCCAACACATTAGACGATCGTTGTTCATTACGTGAATAAGGCAAACGATGACTTTTCGCAAGTTAGCATGTACCACACAATTTTGGTGAAGGCAATAAAGATATAAGAAAAATATGACAATTCTTATTTAAAAGAGAAATAACATAATGATTCACATGTCCAAGGCGAGCATGCCATAAATCATATGAAGCATGAAGAGATTTATTTTTAAGAACAAAAATAAAAGCTGAATGTCCATGCTCCAGCACATACAAGCCACCATCTCTTTTACCGGTTGCCACCACCCTTCCCGTTTGACGATCCTGGACAGTGAAAAGATTTTTAGTAAAGGTAATAGATTATGGAAAATTAGAGGTTAATTTACTAATTGATAAGAGATTTTTAGTGAGATGAGGAACAACCAAAACATCAAGCAAATGAAGATTTGGGTTTGGGGAAATAATACCTGTATGAGTTATGGGTAGAAAGGCACAATTTCCCACTATTACACAATCTTTACCTGTGTAAGTATTTGAGTGATCCAAATTAGATGGGTCAGTGGTCATGTAGGCCGAAGCCCCAATGTCCAAATACCAATCTGGGGTTTCAATTGCATAGACAGAACAAGACTGATTGAAGGCTTCAGCAAGGTAAGCGAAAGAATCATGGCGGGCGTACCGCTGGTCACAGCCATCAGCGTAGTGCCCTTTAGTGCGGTAAATTTAGCAGCGTGGGGAATGACGCCAATGACTAGAAGGACTGCGTCCATGGCCCTGAATGGAAGAACCCCGAATGGAGGAGGAATAACCAAGGCTGCGTCCGCGGTGGGTGCGAGAGGAAATTTCCTCTCTGGTTCGCACTATCAAAGCTCCTGTTGGTGGTTGTGAACACTGCTGAAGGAGAAGAACCTGAAGACTACATAGATTTTTGAAAAAGCTAAAAGCTCTCAGCCTTTGAAATCAAATCAGCAAAACAGGAGAGGGGTGTGACATCGAACTGAGTAGTGGAGAAGGAAGAAAATTCAGATTCAAGGCCTCGGAAGAACCAGTGTACTTTGTCTGTGTCGTCGATTGGACAACCAATCGCATGAAGCTGGTTACAAATTGCCCAAACATAGTGATAGATCGAGCACCACGCTTCATCAATTGAAGATCATCTTTGAAGCGAATTTCTCGAGCCTTGGAGCGGTGGCTTAAAATGGTTTCCAAGGTGAGCTAGACCTCTCGAGAGGTGGAGAGACCGACGACCTCAGCGATAACTTCCTCGGTGAGGGAAGAGAGGAGAAGGCTGAGTAGGAGTTTGTCAATAATGTTCCACACCAGGTGTTTGGGATTAGGCGACTGTGAAGTGGCTGGGTCAATTTTTGGTGGAGATTCAAAGGTTCCATCAACATAGCCGAGTAATTCTTGGCTTTCAAGAAGGGGAAGAAGCTGGCTTTTCCACATGAGATAGTTGCTAGAGGAAAGCCTGATGGTTACCATTTGAATCATGGTGTTAAAAGGAAGGGTGGATTCGACAGCCATAGGGGAGGAGGAAGGGAGGGATCGAGGGAGGTTAATCCGTATGTGGCTATGATACCATAAGAATGTTTGATGAAACCACCACACATTGAAGTGGTGAGGAAGTTATCATTTATAGCATTTTACATATCAATTACAATTAATGTGAAATATAAGAATGGAAAGTATATACAAGGTAATCTCCTAGAATTGAGGACTGGATGAAGTCACGTATGGCAAGTCTCCTTAGATTGATTCAGAGTATCCTCAACAAGTTGCAGCCGCAACTGCCCAAGAAACGATTGTCAAGTGTGGAACATGCACGGTTGCAAGAAAAAACGGGAGAGAGTAATCATCATCAAGCACCGTCGAGATTAAGCATCAGGAACACTGGGGGCGAGATATTGGAAGTCGAAGGAGGTCACGTTGTGTCCATTGGTCGAAAAGACCGGCACAACAAAGTTCGTACCTCCAAAAGGCCCAAGGGATCGCCTTGTTCGCCTAGCTGTACACAATGCAATTCAGTTCTATGACGTCCTGGATCGCCTTGGTTATGATCGCCCGAGCAAGGCGGTCGATTGGCTCATCAAAAAGGCCAAGGCATCTATCGATGAGCTTGCGCATTTGCCTGCCTGGTATCCCACCAATGGTTCTGCAGCAAATGTAAATTTTGGGCAAGAAGAAGCCCAAAAACAACTGGAGGAAAATCAGCAGCACTATACTGATGGCGTGGATACTAATCAAGAACTGCACGCTAGTTTTTTGGCTCCATCAGTGGACTTCGATGATATAGCAGACACTATCAATTCGTTTTTTCCAATAGCTGGTACAGCTGAGGCAAGCTCCTCAGCTATGCACTTTCAGAGCTTCCCAACTTCAGATTTGCTATCAAGAACCAGTAGTCACAGCCAAGATCTGAGGCTCTCTTTACGCTCTTTTCAAGATCCAATTGTACTCCACCACCACCACAACGAACAGCCTCACCGGTATCAGAGCCCCAGCCACCACACTGAACAAGTCCATGTTCAAGCACATGTCCTATTCACTGAAACCACTCCACTTCCACTAGGGTTTGATGGCAACACAGGCTGGTCTGAACACGATCAGCAACCTAGTTGGAATACCAGTAGAAACGCCTCAAACGGGAGTGGTAGAGAAGCAGGATTCTTGTTCAAATTGCCACCAGCAGCACAGTCATTAGGCCAAAACCAGTTCTTTTCTCAGATGGGACCCCTTCAGTCCAGCAATGCACCTTCTTTTCGTACTTAGATGTATCCACCCGCAATAACCATCGCCACCAGCGATCATAGTCAACAGTACCATCCAGAGATTGTGCCAATTTATCCAACATCAATATCTGGGGTTGGATTTACTTCAAGAATAGGCACATTCTCTGGATTTCACTTTCCTGCAAGAATTCAAGGCGATGAAGCGGAGCATGATGGTTATTCTGACAAACCATCCGCTGCTGCTTCTGATTCTCTCCATTGATTTTACCTCACAAAATTGAACTCTTCACTTTCATTACCAGGTAATAATACTCTCAAGGCCCATTTTCAATTTTCGTTGAGTTAAATCTCATCTTATTTCAATTCTTTATGTCCTTCGATGATATATGTTGCTATATGTAACTTAACTTGCAGGGCTTTATCCATTTCTCAGTACTGGCGAGGGATTTCAGTGATTTAGTTTCAGATTTTTCGATCCCGGGATTGTTAATCTGTGTATGTTGTTAATGTTTTCATATTTGAATGTGCTATTAGGGTTGTTTCAAGATACGTTCAGATTTTCTCCTGTTTTTCGTTAATATTTATTTATTCATTTGTAATCTTCATCACGTCCAAACTCAATAAATTTTTTAATAAAACCTTAGCAAGGCCACAATTTTTTAATGGGTGTGGTGAAATTAAAATACGAACATTTTTAGGATGTTCATAAAATAAAGTTTAAGCTATTAAAGAAGCACCTCCATTAACGTTGATTCTAGTTATCCGGACAAATCAGCAATTGCGTTCAATCACACACGTTAACATAGACAAGATCCTTTGATTCCCTAGTAGAAAGTTGATCAGTCACCATGCATACATGGACTACCACGCTGCCACCATATTGGATCTTCGTCATATATGTTAGTGCCACATAGACAACCATCACGTCGTTGCACCGCACTTCTCATTTATTGAGACTTTAAAAGTTTTTCAACTTCTTGCGACAACTACATCTGAAGTGCACCTCTAAAACATTCGATGCAGAGTTGTATTTAAATACGAGTGAAGGAAGTGAAATGGTTTACAAGCAAATCTATCTTTGGGCTCACCTATGCAAATTTTAAATTCAACCTACACAGGATAGAATTAAATTTAAATAAATAAATATAATCATTTTTTAGTTATGAATGATACGAACAAAAATTCAGCTGTGACAGAAAAACATCCATAAAAATGATTGAAGCTTGGTACTTGGCCATCCATCCATGGTCCACCAACCAGCAATTTCTGGGCTTCACGAAAACCTCCAAGTCTGGCAGAAAAACTATATAATTCACATTTAATAAACAAGACAATTATTAAAAACACAAGATTTGGTTTCTATTGAGATGGTGACAATTGCTTGATGATTACAGATTTCTGAGATTACACTAAATTTTGGAGATTCTTAAGGCCTATAATTAAACATGAACGTACGCAAAACAATATTTGTCAACACAGATGTCATGTCCAAACATGAAACAACACAGTATAATGTTTATACTTTGTTTGAAATAAGAGCTTAGTTAAAAGCAAACTTTCAAACTTAGCCAAACATGTATTAATGAAATGTAGACAGGACATACTATTGGGGAACAAGCATTTTCCCTGTGCAAATGGACGTCTATCAACTTCTTCATATATGCACTCCAAACAACTAACAACCCTCAATTCCAAATCCATAGTTTAATTACATATTCACTGAATATATTTATTCACAAATGATTAAGATATTAGATCAGACTTATTGGATTTTGTTTCTTTCGGTAGGGACGAACTTGCTACTCGAGATTTGCATCGGGGGAAGCTTGCTTCATAATAGTTTGGCTTGAATTTTTTCTTGCATGTGTAGGATCCTTTCCATTGGACAAATGTGGTTTAACTGATACAACGATGTTCGTTTTGGCCAAGTTTGTAGTTTTACTGGTCTTTTGCTTGCTGCCGACTTTCTTTGGCATGGTAGGACTCACTTCGACCCGTTTCTCCCATGGACGGACAGCTATCCATCGCTCCTTCCAACTCCACCCACAGTTGTCTTTGCTAAGGTCATAATAAGTTTGACCAAGATACTGGCTCGAATTCGCCCTCCACTGCAAGAAACTTACACCGAGTCATTGCCAATTGAAACCGCAATTTAATGGAAATCACAATTGATAATTGTAATAAATCTTATTTTAAAATGACAAGCCTGATGAGAAAAGGCGTATGCCATGGCTCGCTCCCTCCTGGCTGCTGCTTCTTCTCGCTGTTGTATCCTGTTGAGAATTTCTTCCATGGTTTCAGAGCCACCACACCATTCTACCTGTTCGGAAAATTCAGAAAAACAACTTAGGCACTACAATCTTGAATAGAGAATTGTCTCCTCGGTTTCCTAGTTGAGAAGTAAATAGAAAAGACATTCCAATATCTCTTGAATTTACTCGGAAAAATATTGATACAAAGTCATTCTCCATTAGATTGGAGCAGCTTTCTGAGAAAATAAGGGTGCGTTTGGTTTGATGTTTTAGATTTGCAAAACGTTGAAAATGTGTTTGGTATGAAGTTTCAAAAAATGCATTTTCGAAAACTAGGTCAAATTTATAACATAAAATTCAAAATGCATTTTTCAATGAAAATTCTGAAAACACTCGAAACATGGAAAACAAACGTTTATATAAAATTTTACGTAAATAAATTTTAAAAATTAAAACCTTTAATAAATAAAAAAATGAAATTCTAAAGAATAAAGATTTTGAAAAAAAAATCTAAAATTCTAATTCATTTTTAGTCTCATTTTATCAATCACACATTCAATCAATAAAATAATATTGCACATGGACAAAAAATTTATCCTTACTTTTTAACCACATATTCTCCAAAAAAACACTATTTCAAAATCAATTTTTTTCAAATAATGAAACTCAAACAAGCGGTTAAATGAACACAAATAAGATAAAATATTTGAGTCAACGTCATTAATTTTTATTTTCTATATTTTGAACTTAATTTATTATTTATTGTTATTTTACTTTGGTAACGAGACAAAAATATTGTAAAATTCACCAACTTTAAAATATATATATTATTTAATAATATATTAAGATAAAAACAATTTTGTTTTTACTGAATAATCAAATTTTATGAAATAAAATGCCATGAAATAATTTTTCAAAATTTCAAACCAAACATGTTTCCTATTTTTTTTTTTTGTTTTGAGAAATAATTTTTTCAAAGTGACAAACCAAACACGTTTTTAGCAATTTCAAAACAGATTCTCAAAACAAAAAACTAAAAATGAATTCAAAACTGAAATACAAACCAAACGGGCCCTAAATACTTTGTACAGTTGGAGTAGGTTTTACGGGCAGCTCGCTCCTATTTTTCTCTACGGTATAGCCATTCTTTAGCAATATACTTTTATTCTTTTATTTAAAAAAAAGGCATTTACGAGTTTACTGATGCGACAACTTTGGTTGATTTACTTATCCGGCTTGTTAAAACTTGGCACTTTCAAATTGTATAGAATTACATTACATTACGTGGAAGTTGACAATACCTCTACTTCATGGAGCTTAGCCTCAAGTTTCAACTGATTCTCAAGTTTCTTTTGCTTTATTCGGCCTTCAGTAACCATGGAAATCCAGCGAGATCTAATCTCGGCTTGAATTTTGCTCCAAAAATGTATATGACTCAAAGCAGATGATGTTTGGTTTTTAACCGCAATGCCATCTACAACACCTTGAATTCTACCTATTCCTTTTAAACGAGGCAGGCGTTTTCTTGCCTGCAATTACCACAAATAGGGTATGATAAGAAGTTGTAACTTTCCTAGTTGCAGTTTGAGGCTTGTCTAATCTTCCAGATGAGAGGGTTGGATTTAGAGGAATATATAGGCAGTGAAATCAAGTTTCAAAATTAAACATGTAATAACATAATAGAAAGCTCTGCAGCAAAAAAAGGTACAATCTTGGAGTAATTATCGATTACTTTGACATTCAAAGCGCGCTGCACCACTTACAATGTATGCCCTGAAGGCCTTCTGAATTTGTCTGGCAGCAACATCCTCAGTCGGTTGCTTATTCTTCGTCGAAACGCCAGCAGAGTGATCTTTCAAATTGCAGGCATTTGATTTTTTGGGTGCACTCTGCACCAATTTGTACAAGACCATTTGGAGAGGGAATAAATTTATCGAACTCTGTAGACTATATATACAGAGAGAAGAGAGGAGAGACGTTTAAAAGTGGTAAAAGTTAAGTGCATTGAACCGGAAGAACTTGGATATCTAAAATAATTGTCGAGAAAAATAAAAAAGAACATAAGCTATTCTAAGTATGACCTTGACATGGATAACTCATTCACCTTTTTACGGTCCAATAGGAAGGTTGGTCAAAGAAAGATTTGAGTATTTTGTCGAAGTCGAGCCAAGTTCACTTCTATGAGAAAAAATTTAGCAATCATACACATAATAAGTGCCCCTAACATCAAAGAGGTTGAATTAAGTATCATGAAGGATCCTCGTAGAATTCGTAAAGGAGAAAAGATAATAGTTAATCCTTGACGTTTTCGCCCATATGTTACAGCAGGGGCTGTCTATAATCAAAGAGTAATAGCTGTGTAAAGCAAGTAAAGTTTTGAAGAAGTCTGTTAGTCATAAAACATAAACCCCGCAATAAGTTTTGATTCGCATATAAGAAGGCACGAAATCATTCATTCAAAAGAAAACTTACCTCCACTTGCTTTGTTTTAGCTTCCTTCCCTCGCTTCAGGCAAATCTTTTTCTTAAACCAATTATTCCAACCCATTTCTATTTCTCTAAAAGCTGAGTAAGCCTAGCATAAACCTAACACAATAAAATTCGTACAGTTTATTTTCCTTAAAGTTCACAAGAAAAAAGAACAATAACATTAACATTAACATCCACATCTCACTTTAAAATCAAAACTTGGACTCAGATCAAAACATGTGAATGAAATGCTCTTTACTAGACACAAAAACGAAATTTCACGGTAGTAGTGCCCAATGGCCTGCTTGGACATCTCTCACTCTGCTGTCTGCTTATCTTATCTCATTTGCATTTGGTATTCCCTTAATTTCAATCAGCTCATCTCGGAAACACAAACTCGCCAATCCAATAGTTAAGTTCGTTGAGCAATGCCCAAAAGATTTGCAATATCAAACAAATGGTCATATGCAAGATAAACCCATTTTAAGAGTAATATTTACTTCGCAACTCAATTTTGTTAACTTTTGAATTAATTTGATGTTAATGAGGCTATGATTCGTAACAATTCGCTTTGATTTATGAAACCAAGTTTTCAAATCACAAGATTGCCAACCCGTAATTACAAATTTCAACAAAACAAGGCAAAACAGTTGAAAAAAGAAATCAACAGCAAATATCCAAGTACACAACAAATGCCGTTACAAAATTTCGATCTTTTCAATAAAAAAGTATGGGAATACACGAAACCCATACCTGGGAATAGCCAAGAAAGATGTTGGTTCATGCAATGGTGTGCCTGTGGAGAAGCTTTGGTGCGGGTAAATGGCAAAATTTGCTGGGCTGTATAATGACCTGCGACCAATATATTAAAGAATAGACAAAAAAGTTTGATTTTTTGCTGTAAAAGTTTCAACTTGGAAATGACAATCCAACTAAATAGAAGGTGAGGTGTTAAATTTGAATTTCTGAAAGCTTAACAGTCAACAGCGCATGAAGGTGGGGTGTGGGTTCGTTTTCGAAACCGTAACTACTGGCTTTTGAAATGAATTTTTATACAGACTTTGAATTAAAGAAAGAGAAAAAGCTGTTTTATAAGTAAGTCCTCAATCATGGAGTGGGGAAGTTTGTTGGGTTTGGAATGACAGAACAAAGGCCAGATAAAATTTAGCCAAAACAGTGATATGGGTGGGGTTTCGGTTTGAATCGGGCTTTGCACAAAAAGAAATAAAAGAAAAGAGAGAGAGAGAGAAAAAGATAAAAATCTAGCCGAATATTTGGTCCCGGCGGGGCTCGAACCCGCGACCTTCGGCTCATAAGACCAACGCTCTAACCAACTGAGCTACGGGACCTGTTGTGTTTGATTATTTGAATAATTTATAAGACATATACATGATAACTTATCAGATGAGATAGCTAAAGAAATTAGCTTAGAGAAAAAAATATTCAACATTCTTTTTATTTTCGGAACACGATTATCATTAATTGAATTTCACAATGTGTCTGTATTTAGTTATGAACTCACCATATAATCTTTAAACTGTGAGCATCAATATAAGCAATGCAATTGGCTATACACTCGAGAATTGTCCATTATTTACAGTCATATAATTCGCCTTCGAAACAAGAATAACATAGCGTTTTATTAAAATTTAGATACACAAGCCCAAAAAAAGTATATATACATATATATAGACATTTAACCTAAAATTTATTATAATATTTTGAATTTGATTACTATTAATTCTAGTTTATTTTCATAATTTAGCTATCGATGAAATCGGTGAAACGAGATTAAGTTAGTGGTTAGAATGGAAGAAAAATTGACCCGAGAAGCAAGACGGTTGTGTTTTAGACTTGTATTGATGAAATGTGAAACGAGATCAAGTTAGTGATTGGAATAAAAGAAAAATTGACCCGAGATCCGAACGGACCACGTTGAAAGAGGAGACGAAATGGAGCCGAATCGAAGGCAGCTTAGGTGCATCGCGCAGCATCAGGGATTTTCTTCAAAATATGAAAGGCTCGGATTTTTTGATGATCAAGGAATGTAATTTATATAGTAATAAAATCTTTTATGGATAATTTTACCATTTTAGTTATACACTGTAGCTTGAATCTAAATAGACATTTTCCACGGGACATGAACGACACACTTTATATCTCCATGCGCTCTTCCAAGAAACAGAAAAAAGGGTGAAAACCATGGCTTCAACTTCTTTATCTTCTTCCTCCCCTTCAATGGCTTCCAAGCCTTCCCTCATTTACACACACACACCTTCTTAAGAACTCTCAATCACTTGACAGAAATGTCCGAACCACCCATTAAGGTCACAGGTCACTAGAGCAGGATTTGTGTAGTAACTTATAGAAGGGCGTATGTACCTAGAACGAACACATCATTCTTGCATTATCGAACAAACAAATGAACAAAGTCTGTACATTTTGAGAAACAGACACAAGGCCACAAATGAACGTTGTCGGACTCGTTAACTGTTTAGTCACATTTCTGCAAGTATATACATTAATATAATACATTGAACGAGTTCCTCCCATGCTTATAAATATTTAGGGAGAAGTAATTTTATTCAAAGTCTTTCAACTTCCATTGCTCCTCTATTTACAAATCCTCCCTCACATGGTTGGCCAATGCTGTGGATTTGCAGATGGGACAGCTGTTCTTCATGAGCAGCCACTTCTTTATGCAATCTCTGTGATATTTGTGCCCACAGTTGAGGATTCCGATTATTTCTTGCTCCTCGTAGTCAGTCTACAGAAAGCCAAGCAAACTGAAGTTTTACCAAATTTAAAGCAACAATTCTACATCCATTTTCCCATGGCAAAGTAAAGGAACGAAAAACGTCAAGAAAAACATAACATGCAGTACGGGGTGGGGGGTTTGTATACCAGATGGAAGAGAATGAAGAATAAGCAATATTAAGTATCAAACAAAAGGATGTAAGTTATTTTACTTCAATGTTCAAGATTTTTTTCAAAAACTAACATGTGAGAATTTAATTGTATACCTTAAACACATGAAGCCATCATCTTCATTATTGGACGTGCCAAAAGATAATATTAATACCTGGCATATTACACAGAACTTGATTTCCTGTTCCACACATGTTGTCCCTTCAAGATTGGAACAAGTTGCTGATGAGGCAAACGTTCCTTCTTTCAAATCACGTCGAATAGCTTCTTCAGACAATCCCGTGACAACACTACCAATTTGTTCCCCTAATGCAAGAAGCTCCTGTGGTATAGTGGCAAAATTTAGAAATTTTGTGTCAATGTCACATATAAAACAACCATTCATCAACCGCTCCGATATCCCAATCACTGACAGTAAGGGAAACGTAACTTTTCAGTTACCTCATATGACATGTGATCTATATCCAAACGCATATCCCTGAGATGATCGACAGTATCTCTGGCTTCATGATAGCCAGGAATCTCTAGCATGGCAACTTCCTACAATGACAACTCGTAGCAAATATACTGAATAAATGATATTACTTAGTATTCCGTCAACAGACATTTAACTCTAATGATCCCAGTAGTCAGACAATGTAATCAGTTATGACAGAAATGACAATTATATAGATAAAACAAGAGAAACAATGATAAGAGCTTTACATCTTCTGGTAGAAGTCTCAAATGAGGAAGGTTCTGATGCCTTGTATTTGAATCGAGCATGACTTCCCTTCGATGAGGCCGGTACAACCGAAAGCCCGTTGGTGGAACAGGTGCTAGAAATGTAGGGCCTGCTTCTACAGCATCCTGGAAAGGACTGATGCCACTATTTAAAGAGCTAATAGTAGTGAGTCTGTGTGATGATGTCCCTACTTGCAAAGGCAAGTTGATATTATATCCTCTCGCCCCTTGCATGGGTGGCTGTGGATGATGATTCAGATTAAGAGGGCCTCGAGGAATAGGAGGTGGAAGAAAATTATTAGAACTTCCGCTGCTGGCTGTAACTTGATAACCTTGAATGCCCATATTCCCAGCTTCAAGACCTCCATTGACATTTGCTTGAAAGACAAACAACAGAAAGGAGTTGTCAGAATAAAGAACATATCATCAAAATCACCTAAAACCAAAGCCTACAAACAGATACCATGCATATAAGGTAAATTGGGAGCCTGGTTCCAGGCGAAAGTCCCATTATCATCATTGTTAGCACTGAAATGCATGTCCAACCAAGGATTGCCAGGCAAATGTACAGGTTGAGTGACATAATTTCCTTGAATCAAATGACCAGCGTTTTGTGCCGCTATAGATTCAGATCCAATCATACCAGGTCTGTTCCTCACACTTCTGTGAGAACCACTTTCAATCATTGATGTGGTGTCATTAGTTGCACACTCAGGTGGCAGAAAACTAGCAGCATCTGTTATAGTAGTATCAGACCCAACTGGCCTCGCAGCTGTAGGGGCAACAGAAGAACTAGATCCTGCTGAAGCATTATGATACTGGTAATTTACAGGAAGCCCCTCAGCATTCTTTCTCTTGAATGAACCTCTGACACCATCCATGTAGGGTATGTTCCTCCCAGCACTGTCTGTAGGAATACCAACAATTCCCTGAGTGCCTGAGAGTGACAAATGATCATGTGCCCCATAATTCATGGGCATAGGGAAATCTCTAATACCAGATGGAGGCACCATATATGGATTGTAATGATGAGATGGTGCACCAACAGCCAAATCAAGATTGGAAGAGGGATGGGGATGCTGATGCTGAACACCGTTGTACTGCATCATCCCATAGAATAATGCAACATCATGATGTTCAGGCATATGGTGGAAATTAAAATTACAAGCATTTCCAGGAGGAGGAATCACTGTATGTACACTGTTCAGAGAAAAGTTTGTGACACTCCCATAAAAGAGTCCAGACTCAGGATGTAGATGGTTGTGCCCTTGCTGATCTGCTTCCAAATCAATCATATGACTGGAATAATGTGTGTTCTGGTGCCCCATGTAGTTGAAAGACAGTCTGCAGATGATGCCTGCATCAGAAGCAAAGATACATAATTCGAAAGAAGTTAGATTAATCATTTTAGCATAGAACAACAAACTAACATCAAATAAACTCAGCTTGGCAGAGCCAACGAGTCCTCAGCCCATAAAAATATCAACTGACACAGAATTCTAATACGAAAGCCCAATAGATAATTTGATTGCAATCCGTAATAACAATCAATGGATATGATTGGATTCCAACTCATTATGGTAGTCAACATCGAAATAGCCTAAGATAAAGAAAATGAGTCTATAAAAGATTAATTGCTTGATCTTAGATGACTTCAATATCTTTATGAGCATTTACTTCAGCAAAAACCTGGATTCGACCAATGAGTTTTTCGAAGAACAAACAGCCCAGGAAGGATTATTATTACAACAACAGAATTCAACTTAACCACAGAGGGAAAAACAGAAGTTGTTGAAATGGGAAAAATGTAAGAATATGATGGTCATGAGGAGCCCTTTAATTGGACCTCAAAAAATTATTATTTTTTTGACTCGCCACTGTGCCAAAGAATTGAAGAATGAAGTAATCCTGCAGAGACATAAAATCCTGCAAAATAATTTTAAAAGCTTCATTCATTCATCCATACATCATATTAAATTCTCCTACCTAAGAAAATGTATTACATAACTCACAAAGTCTACATAGAATAATAAGCCTCGATAATAATTAGTTGTTATCTAATAGAGAAGCTCTATTACTTTCAAGTTATCCTCCAGATACCTCTGGCCCCAGCCCCTCGAAAATGAGAAAATAGGATTCTCTTAAACTCAACCAGAGGGCCTCTCACTCTCTAGATGGCCATCCAAACTCATTTTTGAATGAAAAAATCTATCCCTAACTTGAGCGTGCGAAAAATCATTCCTGGGTCATAGGAACTGCAGAAAATAGAAAACATGAGGCACGAAATATACAGGTCTCTGGAGATCATACCTACAAAATGCCAAAAATCTGATGTGATAGAAAGTTTAGAACTTATTAGAGAAAGGAGGGGGTCAAGATTTACTTACAAATTTGGCATCGATTACAACAAACTTCAAAACTTATGAGAGAAAGGAGGGTTAGAGATTTACTTACAAATTGGCATCTATTACACCAACCTTTAATGTTACTGCAATAAAATCGTATTTCTTTGCTAGGAAACAATATTGGCAGGCTAAACATCAAGAACACTAGTGTCCATAAGGTGCACAAACAACTCCCAATAAGTCTATGCAAAGTAAACAAAAAACATACACCTAGAGAAACATCTTCATTCCTTCTCTTCAAGGTCTCGTCTGCCTTAAAACAGATCCATCCATGATGGCAATTTCACTTTAAGACAGATTGCATCTATGGTGTTATAATTCCCATTATCTAAGTTAACATTTTCTTTTAAAAGCCAATAATTATCTGATAAGATAATGATGAGTAATGATTCAGCCCTGGATTAAGAAAGTGAAACTAAACATCCCTTCTATAATAGTCAAACAGTCTTTAAATTAATTAACCAAATAAGCAACACATCTTCCTAAAATATTAATAGCACGCTCTATTATCAAATTTTATTTAATAAATTAACAGTCTGCGCATTTACCAGAATATTTATGTACCTGGATAGTATCAATTCTTTGGTGCAGAAGTTGCAAGCAGCAAAAAGAACCAAAAGATCCAACATTCGGAAATTATAAGATCAATAGATACCGCATTGTATTAAGAACCCACACCAGGAATTTCACTAAGATAATTAAGCCCCTATTTGGTGAAAACTAAAATCTAGATATTAATCTATGTCAAAGTCAACAATTAATTTTAACCACACATTTCATGAGACCAACAACTTTTCAACCATACATCTCATTAACTTTTATTAAAATCTACAAAAAATTTGACTTTAATCCCTACCAAACAATGGCTAAATCTCATTGTATTTAATCCTCTAGATTGGCATGCAAAGACCATCCTTTGTGTGTGTGTGAATGTGTACACATGCACGTAGATGGAGAGGTCAAGAAATAAATTTTCTTCATAAAGCACTGCGCCCAGCATTAACTCGTCAGGTCTCCTTGGACTTGTGAAAGTTACGACTAATAGAACAATAACAGTATGTTTGTCTTGTTTATTAAAGTGAATAATACCAAAAAGTTAAGATTCTGAAATTGCATGGCTAAACCACCCTAGACAAACATAGTAGTTAATCAACTCAAAACTTCAAGAATAGAAGTGGAGTGGGAATCTTCCAAACACAACTTTTACCCTCCAGGCCTAAAAAATGTAACAATTGAACATCTAATTGAAGTTCTCAACATCGCCCATGAAAGTATAGACAATACACTAATGCAATTATCCAACAATTTAGAATCCAGATTTTCACTTTCAAGGTCACGAGAACATCTCAAGAACCACGAAGTAACTTTCATCAGAATCTATACCTAAAAAATCCAATAATCTAAATGCGGACATGGGAACAGACGTACTAAAATCTAGTACCTCCTAAAATTGGGTATTACAAAAGTTGAAAATTTTTGAACCAAAATAAAGAATTTCCAATAAGTACGATAACAGCTTAAAGAATTCTATGGAGAGTTTAACAAAATAAAAATAAAAATAAAAAAAACAACTATTATCATTTTCCGACGATATATAGTTTCCAATTTCATTATCATTTATTATATTTTCCAAAAATCAAGTAAGAGTAAATGAAACCATATACCAAATAAAATATTAGATTTATTATTTTTTTATTTTTTTGCCAGAATTACATGGTGGACAGCCAGGCAACTAATCCTCATGAAACAAACACAATCATCTAATCGGAAAAACAAATGATAAAGAATTTAAATAGAAAAAAACTCACCTTTTTATCATCAAAATTCAACCTTCGACAATTCCCAGAAAAAAAAATTCCAATAAAATAATTAACACCTGAAAAGGTGAACAGAGGAACAAAATCACAATTTTGAGACTTGCATTCAAAAGTGATCAATAATCATCAAAATTACAATCTAACAAAAACCTCACCTTGTTATCATCAAATTTTCCAAGAATTCCCAAGTTTCAACCTTTGATAATTATTAGCAACAAATTCCAAATAAATTAAGAAACCCTAATTATAAAATGAAAGAAAAAGTGAGTAATGGTCATCAAAACTGCAATCTAACAAAATCCTACCAAGATTCCGTCATTATAAGACAATGCATGCATTGCATGTGGTTATATATTTCTATCGAATGAAGCCCAACAATAATTCCAAAGTTCCAGAAGGGGAAAAAAATAAAAAAAGAGTAAATGCAAGAATCGATTAAAAATTGAACTAAAACAACCAAATTGAAAGATGGTCAGAAGGAGAAAGATCGAGAGATCTAAAAGGAAGAAATTAAAAAAAATAAAGAAAGAAAAGAAAAAAACAGAGACAGATATTATCTGCAATCTAGAGAGAGAGAGAAGTTTATACGGAAAATCACCTGTTAATTGTAATTGTTTCCTCTGTATTGATGTCCAAATGGTATCGTATATTTTTTTCTTTGACTGCTAATTGTACGTTGGATGTGTTTTGACCTCAATGACCACGATTATTTTTGAAATTATCAAAAATACCCATTGTTTTTTGAAAAAATCCATTCTTGTTTAGAGAACTTGTGTTATAAATATTTTTATTTTCTTCTGATGGATTCCTTATTGATATATTATTATATATAGTTTATTTTACTTGAAGAAACAGATGTATCAAAACCTACAAGTAAGTAAATGATTTTAATAGAAATAAAATTGGGAAGACAAATTTAGTGGGCCCATACGTTCTTCTGCATAAGAATATTCCATTATTAAACCATCAACGAAGGCCAATCATATTCAGTACTATTTAATTTTATACGCAAATTTCAAATTTTTTCTTATTATTTAACCACATATTTTTCATCAATCTACTATTTCAAAATGCATTCTTATTATAAAAATAGAAAACAAACAGACTCTTAAATTCATTTAAGTCTCATTTGGGAAGAATTTATGAATAGATAAAAATAAATTGTGAATAAATGAATGGTATTTTTTTTCCATCAAAATATAGAAATTTAATTTCAATCATTTATAAAAAAATTTACAAATTTTATCCACTGAGAGGCTCATTCAAGAAGAAAATAAGGTGGCCTGCAGCATGGCAAGATTAGAGGTTTAAATGGATCTCGTTGAACCATGTTTTATAGTTTTTGTGCAGACCTCTTTGAGGCTAGACATGGCCCATATTCCCTGGTCCGACCTGTACTAAATGTACGAGGGTGTCAAGTAATACCACACTATTGGTCATTTCATTTGTGGCAGACACATAAATGTCGCTATCAAACAAAATGTTACGACGAAAAGACCAAAAATTAAATTTAACAAAAAAAAAATTCAGACAAAAGGACAGCAATCGTCCTTTACAGAAGAAAATCAGCTGAAAAGACAAAAAAAAAAAAAA